AACCTCATTTTAAAAAACACTTTTTTCATATGAGTGTGCCCAGTTAAACCAAATTACTACTTGGGGATCAAGAATTGAATTAGAGATAATGAATACTATCAGTTGACTCAATGCTGGTATAAAGGTAAAACCCTTTAGCCTAAATCCACTTTTAATCTTAACTGGGAAACTACAATGAATTGGGACTTGTTAGCTAATTTCAGTGGATCTGGTCTAGCTGAGACTAACCTTGGATTTAAGCCTTTCCTTTAAAACATTTTCTATACTGGGAAACTTACATTTAAATTTCCTTGTAAGTTCCGATTTTTTAAAAAAAAATGCAGTGCAATTTTTCCCCCTCATTCGCATTTTCAGGCCTCATTTGATATGCCATATTACTGAAATAGTCAAGGATCTTTACTGGAAAAAGATTTAGCAAACCAGAAAACTTTTAAGACTTATGGACACAAGTATCTATGAACTGCTGGATAGCTCAGTGGTTTAGAGGTTGGGAGTTCAGTTCCCCACTCTACCTCCTTGACAGAGGGCTGGAGTCTATGATCCATAGGATTCCTTCCAACTCTGCACTTCTGAGATAGTGATAGTGATGTGATGATGATTTCTTTCCTCAGGTTAGTAATTCTCAACCCTAACTAGAGGAGACCCACTGAATCAATGGAAGTGATGCAAGAGTTGAGTTACTATGGTTCCATTAATTCAGTTGACAGACAATTCAGTCTAGGCCATGGTGTCGGAATATGGACTTATTTTATGCTAAAGCAAAATAATAGAAAAGAAGCATGCAATTGGCCCTCCCCAAAGCAAATATTTTCTTTAAAATGAATCATTTAGAATTAAGTAGAAATATTTGCTTCTACTTTTTTAATTATACCTTCAGGCTCCTGTTAAAATCATAGGGCCAGGGTCATTAAAAACATAGCAGCTCTAATTACAAATACTTAGATATGCTACATAAGAACAGCCCTGCTGGATCAGGCCAAGAACCCATCTAGTCCAACTTCCTGTATCTCACAGTGGCCCCACCTAATGCCTCTGGGAGCACATGAGACAACTAGATGCCTGTCTACTGATACCCCTCTCCTGCATCTGGCATTTTGAGGTACCTTCCTTTGAAGCCTGGAGATTATACATCCCCATCATGGCTTGTAACCTGTGGTGGACGTTTCTTCCAGAAATCTTTCCAATGGGAACATTTTCATATGTTAACATATTACTATCAAAATCATGATAACTTCTCACAATACCCCTTATTTTTTAAAACAAAGCAGGGCAATCTCCAGCTCTTTCAACTGGAGTGTTGCTGTAGTATCTCAGCCCAATTGAAAACATCCAGGCTGTGTTAGTTTAAATTGCAAGAACCTTGATTTATGCATGACTGCCATCACTTACCCAAGATGTAATTGTATGACAAGACTTTTAGCATTTGCAGTTTTGTCTGTTAGGTGCAAGTTGGTGATGACGAAGGAAAGCACATGGCAGAATGTATTCCTGCCAGTAAAGTTTTACAGTGTGGAAACTCAGTTAAGATTTAGCCTTAGACTCAGCATATGGGTTACTTATGACTAGAGCAGGAGGTTATGTCCAAATTTTGGGGTGAGCCACCCTTTAGTCCATGAACTACTCCAGATTTAACCAAATTATATTGATTGCAGCCACTGCTGCTACAACAGGAAAGAACAAGATTGTTTTCCATTTTAACAAGTAGCCACTGAATGTTGGCTACTTCACCAGCCTTCTCTGCTGTGAATTAGCCCAGTACCCTTTAATTTTAGTTCTGTAGAGGTTTCCCATCTGTTTCAGTATCAAGACATTTCTAAGAATATCAGTGGAATGGACATTGGTCATGTATTGAAGCAAAAGCAATTGACATTGAAACAATTAAGATTTGCGGGGCATTGATTATTTAATAATGTGTTGTGTACCATGAACATTTGTGGAATGTAGCCATTTCAGCAGATGCGTTGAATTTAGTCACAGTTGGGAAATATTTTTATTCATGTTGGAAAATAATTTTAGTCATATTGGGGGAGGGAAATTCAGGGAAACGAGAAGGAGGGAATGTCAGAAAGCGGTGATCTAAACAGCAGGCATTGGACAGACATCAACAGCTGAAAGGACACCCTAGCATAGATAAGCTCATGAATGTATGGATGCTGATGTAGTCGTCGTTGAATCCAAGTAGAAGAGAGATAATTTAACCTCTCAGCAGGCCAAGAGAGAAAATAAGTTCAAAATTCATAGACAGAGAAAAATGTCTCAACAGTGGAAACAGAAAGAAGGCGTTTATGTGCCCTTGCAGCAGAGAGACAGCATTTTCACAGTAGAGATTTCAATGGCTTTTTACACTAGTGTTCAAACACTCGGGCGAAGACATCAAGGCTGCAACAGAAAGCAGATGCCTGATGATTTTGCATTTTACATTGATCCCACACGGCCAGTTGAAGCAAGAAGTAGTTTATGAAAATGATCAAAGTTATTTCAGGAGTGAGAGGGGGTCGAAAGGCTGCAACAGAAATCTTTGCTTTAAAGAAGAGAGAAATAATTGCAGAAGGCAAATTGGGAAACTTAGTAAGAAAATGTCAACACATAGTTAATAGTTAATAAGTTCTTTCTGACACGGATATTGAGCTCACTAATGGGTAATTCAACTATTAACACTTTTCTAATTTTCTCATATCTGGTAAAACAGATAGGATGCCATTGTCTCAATTGTTAAACCACGGCTGAGGAGTCGGGGGAGGGGTGTCTTCATAGGATCATTATGTGGAATAGAAACATCCCCGCTGGGAAGAAGTTTCTGGTGTCATTCCTGCTTTGCCTAACGAAGCAGATTGTAACCTGAAATAACTAACAATGAAATGAATCAATTAGTCTTTGAGGCACCACAACTATTGTTCTCTTTTTTTGTTTTGTTTCCCTTCTCATTCTTGAGGGGTAGTTTTCCCCTTGGAGAAAAATCACTGGAACTTTGTGTCATTGAGGCTGTTGTAGGACCCTTTTTCTTCCCTCCTGTTACGTTGTTTTATCGGCCACAGATTCTGCAAGTGGTATATAGATTTCATATTTTAGTAATCTTAGAAAAACATTGAGATAAAGTCTCAAATCTTGTTCCACTGGTACAAGAAAAGAGTAGTCTGAGGTGAGTTGACTCAGCCTAAGAAAATATTCAGATACATTATCTCTTTTATAGTCAGTCACATGGCTCAGTGTGCAATAGATATTATCTACAGAGATTTCTAACTTGAGCTAATATTCCCCCAAAAGTTATGTCTTATGCATAGCAATGCAACGGTGGTCCTGACACAACCAGATAGGCAGGATATAAATAAAATAAAATAAAATAAAATAAAATAAATAAATAAATAAATAAATAAATAAAACAGTATTTTAGCCAGAGAACAGCCCCAGAATAATGTAGTTATGTGTGCTTTGTTTTTTAATCACCTTTTGGAGCCTAGAGATAGAATACATCTATCTTCTTTCTGTTTTTAAAACTATTCCATTTTTCTGTTCTCCAAATATTTTAATATATTTAACAACAAAACGGTTAAACATACAGTGGTACCTCGGTTTACGAAAGCCTGAGTTAACGTAATTTTCAGTTTATGAACGAAAATCCATTGAACATAATACCTCAGTTTATGAATTTTTTTCTGCAATACAAAGCAAGTTTGCATTGTGCCTGGGAGGTTTATAGTGCCACCCCCATGCATCCATTCCTATGGGAAACCATGTTTCAGTTTGCAAATTTTTCACATTACAAAACATCCCGTAGAATGCATTAAATTCATAAACCGAGGTACCACTGTATATATGAACAGATGCAGCAATGACAGGCATAATTGTATAAAACTTCACAGCAACAGTGGGAAAAATGCAAGTAATGGGAGCACATAAAGTAAAAAAGCAAAAAACAGCAGAACTGTTTTTACATTATGACAGAACACTAGGAATGAGAGTGGCAAGTGACTGGCATGAACAAAAAGCCCCACATATCACTAACTGCCTCATTCTCAAATAAATCTGGGTCTCTAGATGGCCTTAGTGGGAAGGTATATTTCTACTTCTGAAAGCCTCAAGTAGCTGTAGTTTTTACATCAGGTTCTTCAGGGGATCCACTAAGCCTACCTCCACAAAAATAAAAATAAAAACAAACCCAGAAGTGCCCATTCAGGCACATCCTGTGTTGGGGAAAAATAAAAAACTGATAATAGCTGTTTCCACATTCTGTGTAGCCCACTGAGGTGATTAGGAGCCCCTGAGCTCACCCAGCCTTGACTTTAAAGATTCGCACCAGAATTTTGAATTGTGTTCAAGAAGCAAATAGAGAACCAGTGAAGTAAACGTACTACATGTTACTGGAATTACCCAGCAATGCTCATTTGATTATTGTGTGACTAGTCAAAACAGCATTCTGTAAACCATTTCTGTTAGAAGGGACAGTCCAAACAAAATGTATTGACTTCTGAATGAGTTCTTGAGTTGGAACCGTATTTGTCAAAATGACTGTAGATGGCAACGGCTTCTTCTGTGCCAAATATGGAGGACGATATCTTTAAAAGATTGAATTATGCATTTTGTAAAAGACAGAGACCTCTGGTTGAACCGATCAAAAGAACAATAATCAGCTAGTGCTGGCCACGTGTAATGCATTAAACTTGCCTGAAACAACCATGCAAGATGAGCAGTTGGCCAGATTATATTTGCTTGTGATGCTCACAGCATGATTTTATATTAGGAAGTAGCTCTGGCACTGTCCCACCCTCCCAGTCAGGTTACTTCAGACACTTATGGGAGCATTTCTATGCTGCAGAGCTTGCCCAGGTATTACAACTAATGTCAGGATCAAACCTAACAGGGAAATGAAACCAGGAATGTAGGGGTGAGGAAAAGAGCAGTTTCAAAGACAACATGCATACAAGGCTCTTGTTTTACTTACCAGTTGTTCTGCAACAGATATGTTTAATGGTTAGTAAGCATTCATGTTTTATATCCTCTAGATTAACGGGAAGCCAATCCAATACATCTTTCCCCATACAAGGCTGAAACTACCAAGGGACCCAAAGGATCACTCAGTTTCAGGTAAAGCTAACTACAGAATCAGTCTTTATTGGAGTATTTACTGTATGTTACGCAGATGACACAAGAAAGGACATTCTGGCATGATAATACTTGGTACTATGTTACGCAGATGACACAAGAAAGGACATCCTGGCATGATAATAATTGGTATTTATCTTGGGTAAATGACAATATTCTGTGACAGAAGAACATATCGATGCATATGTGGCACTCAAATTATTTCCTAATTTTTTTTTTAAGTTCAATCCACTATAAAGAGGATATTGATGAAGATGCAATATTGAAAATGGCTCTATTTTAAATATATATGGCTGTTTAATGGGTATTTATCACCAGTTCCTCCTTATGCACCAACTACATGCTTAAGTCCCCATATTCAGAAGGAATCCAGTCAAGGTTTCATTTCCGTCTTTCCACATTATTTTAGGGTACTTTGCAGTGCCTGAGATTATCTAGTGGCTCATCCATACACCCTATAAATGGAAGATAGCCTCTTGAGCACAGTAGCAATTACATCAAAGTAAATACACACATAATTCCACAGCTGGACTGTTCAGTAGAGAATGGAGCACCATGTGCTAACTGCTAATAGCAAGTCACCATCCTTGTCAGGGCCCATGTGAACTTCATTCCCCAGGATCCCTGATCTTTCAGGATGTTGCCACATGTCAACAGACAGGAGACAGGTTAAGTGCCATTCATCTTAGGCGCCACACAAGTACAGTGGCGCCTTGACTTAGGGACGCCCCTACATACAAATACTTCAACTTATAAAAAGCTCCGTTTGCAAAATTTTGCTTTGACTTGCGAACGGAGCTTCGACTTACGAACAAAAAAAGTGGGGAAAGCAGGAAATGGACTTTGGACTGCCTGGTACTGTAATTTTAAAATGTAAAAATTGGTTTAAAAGATTATTGATTTTTAACTAATTGTTTTCCTTTGGTATATCATCTAGCTAATGCCAGAGGCATCTTATTCAAATAGCCAAGTTTTTCTGGCTTCCCTCCCCATAGAAAATTATAATGGTGAATGTCAAAACCTGTTCCTGCGCAGAAGTAATTATTTTTATCAATGCAGTAAACACTTAATAGTGATTTGAAGGTTACATTTTGAAAAAGTGAAGCATTAGTAATACCAAACAACATCATTATTAAATGGTCCTGGATATCTTCTCCCACTGGAGAGTTAAAAATGGCATAATAACTAGAATATGTTAGTGACTAGGTGTGTGAAATGAAGCCAGGGTCTATGAATACGAGAGCTTTTATTCTTCCCTGGGATCAGATGCCAAAAAGACTTGGTTTTATGGATTTACAAATACGACCAGAACTTGCTATTCTTTTTCGTGGGGGTGGATGGGAGGGTGGGAGACAGAAATTGTTCCGCTTCTGATTCTCACACACATGCTAGTCAAATAACTCTATAATAATATTTTAAATTCTATTGGGTATAGTGCTTAACAGAACATACTGTGCAGAAAAATGATAAATGTGTTAGGTTCCCATTAAAAGAAATTACACATAAGGGGCCTCTCTTGCTAAACAGTAAACTGGCTAGCAAATTAGCATGCATATACATCTGGTTACTTCTGTCTGAGGAATCAAATTGTTACATAAACTATTCACTTTGCATGAAAAGTCATATGAATACATTTTAAATGAAATTAAGATGTCTCAAGACTATTTTCTCAATGCATGAAGAGATTATTTTGTAATTGGCTTTAAAATTTGAGATTCAATGGGACTGCCATTGGATGTTCAGGTATCACATAGGGAAAAAGTTATTCAGTTTGGGGTTTTACTGTAAATCACATGACCCATTGATATACTGGAAAGCACTCCAAGGTGAGCAATCCTATGGACACAGCTGCATATTTTAATATATATGTACACACACACACACACACACACGTATTTTGCTATTTTTATTAGTAAGTTGTAGTTTTTTAATTTTAGTAAAAATATAAAACAGTATAAATCTCCAGTGGAAATCCTGTCAACAGGATCTTGCTTCCGCATCAAGGGTTTTACAATATCTGAACTGAGAAAGAACAGAAGATTGGATATACTGTATGAAATAAGGATGGCTTGAGGACACGGAAGCAGCACTGTTGTTCCAGCCCCATGCAGCATAAACATGATTAGTGCTCTCTTCTTCATTATTATTTTTCTCTGTAGGAACATAGAAAACTACCTTACACTGAATCAGACCATTGATCCATCTAGTCAAATATCATCAAACTAAGAGTTGCCTTCCAGAATTTTAGTTTGAATTCTTTACCAAGCCTGCCTGAGGGACAAATCTGTAACCTTTGGTATGTAAAAGTATGAGCTATGACCCTACCAGAAGGTCCACCTAATTTAGGCCCATAAGGTAGTTCTAGCTATATCTTTTGCTTAAGTTCTTTCTCAAGTGAAGTGGGGCCTATAGTCTTTTGACTCAAGATGGACCTGAAATGAATCAAACACTAAGCATTTGAAGGATTTTCTATGAGTGAAAAAAAAATGAACAAATGCAGCTTTAAGCAACATTATAAGATGAATGGCTAGAATATAATAAATAGGAAACATATAAAATCCTTGTCCATGTAGCTTTCAGCCAAACCCCTGAGAAGCTCACAAACATGCTGCCTTGAACTCTAAGAAATCAGAGTTGGGGAGAAGGAACTGGGAAGGGATGTAGTTTCAAAAGAAAAACTAGCAGAGAAAAATCCTGCACCTCTTCCAATGCACATGTTCTGTTTGCTAGTCACTGTGAAGCAGAGCAGAATTTGTTGGCCTAACATAATGATGTAGTCATGGAGTAACATGTAGTTTGGCCTCTGAGTGACAAGCAGGTGTAGGTCTGTTACTTGATCACTGATTTTTGTTATACAGTTCACAATAACTAGATCTGGCTACTGCTAGGGAAACAAGGTTTGACTTAATAGGCAGCTAACATAAGCTAAGGGGCTACTGGCTTCCTTCACTAATATAGGATGATAGACTAGGTGAAGTGATGCATGACTTCTCCTTGTCAAACAGCAGATGAAAAATTGCAGTGTTGTGAACATGATTGGGAATGAGAAGTAATTTGTCTACCCAAGTGACCCCTTCAAATCAGAAAGCATGACTATGACCTCTATTCTCTCAGACTAAGCTACCCATTTTGATTAAACACTGCCTGCCATTCTCTAAAGATTTTCCACTGTGATAAATGCAGGCTCAAAAACATTATTCTTAATGTACAGAGTTTCAGTCATCTAAGTTACTGTCTTATATTTATCTAAATAAATTTTGTTATATTTATTTTAAATACAATGAGGACACAATGAGCACAATAATGGATTTTTAAAATATATATATTTCCCTTTATTTAACCCTAATCGCTTTCTCCAGATTTATCCATACCAGTTAAGTCCTCCATGTCAAACATTTATTTTATTTTATTTCCTATGCCATTTCCACCCTTCTCACTCCAATAGTTACTCTTGTCCATCTCTTACATTACAAATATCATTTCCTACATGTTGTTGTTATCAACTGTCAAATCACTTCTGACCTATGGCAACCCCTGCCCTCCTCCCTGGCAGGGATGTATTGGACTGGTGCTCAGCTTTGGCTGACACCTATCAGCTGGTGCAGAAATGGTGCAGATCAGGGGAATCTCACTGTTTGATTAAAACAAAGCATTGTGAAGGCCCACGGAAGGTGTTGACACAATGTGATTTCTGCCCAGTGCTCTCGGTGATGCAGGCCCCAAGGGCTACACCGTGATGAGTAAGGGGGGACACTGAGGTGGTCCTTGAAGCCTAGGGCTCAGGCCCAGATGGAACTGCCACAGGTGCAGATCCTGGTCTGAATATGTGAGATATTTAAGGAGTAGTTTTATCAGTGCTACACCCTGTCAATTCCCATAGCAAAGTGAGAGAATTAAATCCAGGTCTCCTAATCACTCTTTCCACTACCCCACACAGATTTTCTCATATGACTTCTTGTTTCACCCACTGGCTGCTAACTTTCCCTGCACATCCTTTCCTGTTTTTCAAGATTTCTTTTAGAAAGCTTCTTTCAGTTTAGACTGTGCTCAGGATACCGGATGCAGAGGTCAGCAACAAATTGGGGAGTCACAATAGGACTCCAGCTCTTTCTCCTTCACTCCCTGCAATTGTCTCACCTCTAAATCTCCTCTCCTTTAATTCACCCACTGGCTGCTAACTTTCCCTGCACATCCTTTCCTGTTTTTCAAGATTTCTTTTAGAAAGCTTCTTTCAGTTTAGACTGTGCTCAGGATACCGGATGCAGAGGTCAGCAACAAATTGGGGAGTCACAATAGGACTCCAGCTCTTTCTCCTTCACTCCCGGCAACTGTCTCACCTCTAAATCTCCTCTCCTTTGAGTTTGACGCTTGGAATACTATTGATTTTTTTCCCCATAAAGTTTGTGCAACTTGCTGCAGATAATTGTGGCTAATAATTAACTTACTAGGGCACATCTTGATTGCACAGCTGGTCATGGGTCCACTTGCACAAATGAGATGTACCGCAGCACCTTGAAAATTAGCCACCATGATGGTCCATTTATAAAATTCTGCAGTTTTAGATTTGATAGTTTAAGAAGCCAACCAAGAGCTTTAATAATAATTACAGGACTGGTGTCCAGTTTTAGCAGAAGTTGTTGATAAGATTTTAAATTTCACATGCAATACATTAATAACTTACAATTTCAGTGGTGTGGGAGAGTTTGACCTGGCAGCTAGTGCTTGAGCAACCACTTAAGGAAAACCCAAGCTGTTCTCTTTGTACTGGAATATGCAATGTATGCTTTATGGATGATATTGCTTTGTTTTGTGAGAAATCATCTGCCTGTGGTTGAGGGCTAGATAGCAAACATGGATGCTTCATACCCTGAAACAGCACAGTTAAAAACATTTTCCATTAATTGCCAGCTCTCATGCTTTGAAGTATCTTAAAAGGGTTTCCAGTTTTTTTTCTAATATGTATAGAATTCTTTTTGAAAAGGCATTTCTGAAATAAGATTTTGCATGCTAATCAGTAGGTCAAAGTTAAGTAAAATCCCAATTTCATCTTCTTGCTTGTGGCTATCTGAGCTTATAGGATAAAGATCAACAAGATAAAGAAAGGATAGAGATAAAAAGGTTGTTCATGTGCAGAAAAACATGCATTTGAAGACTGTTTATTACTTACCTTCAAATACTGATAAGATGGAAATGTTTTTTGAGGAGCCATGAAGGAGAAAGCTTGTGCCATAATGATTTCATTAACCTTTACAATATGACAAAACTCTTTTTTCAAAGAGAGTTACAAAGTTATTTTTTAAGTGTGATTAGTAACATTTTCTAGAGGCACTGCATCAGGGTTTTTTCCAAATGTATTTTCTTTATGCTTTTATCTACTGTTTTTAATATGATGCTCCATTTTTTTTACTATTCTAATAACTAATTGTTTTTAGTTTTTTAATATTTTTACTTTTTAATGATGTAAGCCACCTTGGGTCCTTTTTGGAAGAAAAGTGGGGTAAATATATTTTAAATGAAACAAAATAAAATAAATCCATCCAGAGTGACAAGAAAATGTTTCTGTTTTGTTTTTGTTCTGTTCTGTTTTGTTTTTGGATTTTTATAAATATTTTCAAGGTGCAGTATCATAACTGACTGTCAGAAAAATCCATTTTCAAGCCATTTTTGGCCTAGTAGTAAGAACAACAAATAGATGGAATCTTGTAGTGTTTTAATGCCAAGGTAATGCAATTGCCATAAATCTCAGTGGCAAATTGCTGCAAACTATGAAGTCAAAGAAGGTATCTCCTGTTGCATGTGAAGTCACACAGTGGGTGCACAGTAGCTTGCAGTAATTTGACACTGATGTTTACACCTACTGAAATCTACTGAGAGGAGTAACTTTATTAGGAGTGCTGTATCCATGGGATCAGTACCCATGGTTTCTCTTATCCACCACCTGAAAATATAAATAACACACACACCCCAAAATACACATTTCCAAGGTGTATTACCAGAACTGGCCACTAGAGGGAACCAGAGACAATGCAATGTATAGTATTTCTATACCCATGGTTTTCTGCATCTGGAGGGCAGGGCTTAGAACTGACCCCCTGCGGATACTACAGTCCTTACTGTAATGGGATTCTGCCCAATGTAGTAATAACAAATAATGTAGCAAGTTATTTATGTAAGAAAAGTGACAAGAAGGACAAGAAACACTGAGTTTCCTTAAAGAAATACTTTTCTAAGCTTTCTGTGCAGGGCACGTGTACTGATGCTCAGTAATTACAAGGCCCGTATTCTGATTCCTCTCTTGTATTTCCTTCAGTCTCCACAACATCAACCCCTAGCTGGCAAAAGTCTTCAAATGTTTCTTAGTCAGATGAACACAAAGTACATCTTAATATATTTCCAGGCATATTTTGACAGCTTTTTATTTAGCTCATTATCCCATGTATACAATAGATACCCTCTTTTGTCTTGTTAATTATCAGTTTATTTCCCCCTCCCCAGAAAAAAGACTGTACAGTAGGATTTAAAATAGATCCCTATTGTAATAATTTCAGAACATTGTTCAAGTATAAAAATGGAAGATAGCTAACAGCATAAAACCTTGCTTAAGACAGAGAGTCTTCCCTTACTTCTGAACAGCAGGCAGAAATGGGCAGAGGCTTCAGCCAGATGTTACGGGCAGGCCTACAACATTTTTATTTGCTGACAAGAAGTGATCCCACCTGACCTAGAAATGAACATGGAATTGTCCATTGTAACTGCCATATATGATTTTTTGGAGAACATGAGTACTAATTAGAGACAATTAAGTGGTATTAGAAGGGACGTGGTGGCATTGCGGGTTAAACCGCAGAAGACTCTGTGCTGCAAGGTCAGAAGACAAGCAGTCGTAAGATCAAATCCATATGACGGAGTGAGCTCCTGCCACTTGTCCAGGTTCTGCCAACCTAGCAGTTTGAAAGCATGTAAAATGCAAGTAGATAAATAGGTGCCACCACAGTGGGAAGGTAAATGGCATTCCGTGTCTAGTTGCATTGGTCACGTGACCACGGAAACTGTCTACAGACAAACGCTGGCTCTATGGCTTGGAGATGGGGATGACCACCATGCCCTAGAGTCGGACACGACTGGACTAAATGTCAAGGGTAACCTTTACCTTTACCATAAATGGTATCAGCATTTGAAACAGCATCCCCCAAGCAGCTCATTCCATCACAATTGTAATTTAACATTTAAAAGATGCCGTGAGCCACTGACAGTCAGGACGGAGTGAAGAGATCATCTCAGGTTCCATTTAATAGGCATGTTTAGAGAGTCACCCCACAGGCTGTAGGCAGACACGTGGGATGAGATCTCATTGGCAATATTTGAATTTCCACACGTTGATTGCTGTACTTAATTGTATGGACTGTAATTAGTTCAATTATTGTTATTCATTGTTAGATGTTGCAACATGGAATTGTGAAAAAAAAAGGCTCAGCACTATCAAAATGGTTAGGGAAGATAAAAAGATTAAAATAGAGCTGCTGAAAAATGTCCAACTCCAGAAGTCAATTACAGACACAATAGGATCATTGAATCAATGGAGCTGACACAGTTGTTGCCTCACCCACTGGCTCAATGGGCCTACTCTAGTTGCAACTTATTACTGGAGTTCAGCCAGTTCGTTCATTTTAAACTAAATAATCTTTTGTCAGATTAAAATCAATGGTGCATGTTAGTGGTGAATAAATTAAAACTCAGTTATCAATGGGACCGAACAGTGACTACATTGGTTTTATCTGTCATTTTATCTATGTAGTGGGCTGTTGGTATTTCCACTCTGACCAGGCAATGAGCTTGCCTTACCAAATGTGCCATGTATAGTTCCATATGCGTATTAATGTCCATGTGTGGCACATACCATTCCTCTCTAGCCCACAAAAAAATGCAAAATAGCTGCATAGCTGGAAGACCCACTTGACTGAAGTCTGCATTTGTATAATTCCACTCCCATATGTGCTGGTCATATAAATTAATGCACCCATATGACCATGAATGCTGGAAGAAAATACTGATTCAATTACACTTTTTAAATGACTTGTGACTGCAATCCATGCTGCCAGGGTTAGGTTCCTAATTCATAAATTGAAATATAATCATTTTAACTTTTATAATAAGGGCGGGGAAATCAGCCTTTAAGGCCCCTGGATAAAAGTCTGAATCATCACATTTGTGATTCTAGCTTTTGTGTAATGGACCTAAAGTCCCATCCCGCAACCGTAACATTGGGAACATTTTGAATTATAAAGATTACAAGCAAAATTGAACATTCATGAATTAACACTGCATTGCTGCTTAAGAGTTCGTAATCTTGTTAACTAGCACTGGCATTTTGGACAAACGAGATTTTTTATTTATTTATTTTCATTTCTTGGAAATAGTAGTATTCCAAGGTAGTTCAACTTTTCTTTTAATAAGTGAGAAATATTTGACGGGCCATCTTGGTTTTGCATCTAACCTGCTCACCAGTAGTTGAGCTCCTCATCTCTTCAGCTAGGACTGACCTGAATGTTTGGGAGCAAATATGCTGCTTTTCAGAGACCCTTTTGGCTGCAGTTGTGGCTGGTGCCCTCTTTGGCCTTTACTTACAGTTGCTTGAAATTACAGATTTGGGTATGCTTCTTTATTTCTGTACACATATTCAGAAACTAACTGAACTGTTTAACAGCAAACAACTGCCAACAACAGATGAAAGAAAAGGAAGGTGCACTCAGCAGAGATGTGGGCTCCCTTTGTCTATTGGTTAGTGCTGGATAGATATACAATCACCTCAGCCCAGAAAAGTCCCTCCCAGTCAAACAAATTACAGGTAGCATGTGAGGTTGCAAACAAAAACTCCAACATTAAACACAATGAGAGTTAATGCAGGAATTGCATTGGTGGGGAAAAAATAAACAAATTGCAATCAGCTTCTGTTTCATCCTTGCATTTTCATGCTTATGTTTTTTCTTCTCTGAATGCAGGCAATGGACTTGGCATCCGAGTTGTTGGCGGGAAAGAGATTCCTTGGGCCAATGGAGAAATTGGTGCATACATTGCTAAGATCCTACCTGGTGGGAGTGCTGAGCAAACAGGAAAACTTGTGGAAGGTACAATAATTTCTGTGTCTTGTTCGGAGTGTGTCATTGGATATTTAACAGCTGCATTATTCTCTCAGAGGCGCATAACAGACCTGGGAAATGATGGCCGAAAACAGATAAAAAGAAACAAATACCTTGCCTCTTTTGGATGAGATCCAAAGTTTAAAGACCTAAAAAATAAAGGAATCATGAAAAGTCAATCTAACAAACTTGCATACTTAATATATATATTTAGAGAAGACATGAGAAGCATTTTGACAAGGTTGTCACATGTCCTTAGTGCTGTATGATTCCAGATATTGACTTTTGATTTTCATAAAAGTTTTTAGATGCTTGAATTTTAGATGGTTTTAGCATACCAGAAAAGGCAGGACCCTGTAAGTGACTAGGGTGGTTTATTGTCCTAAGGATGATCGATTAATATTCTTTTCTTATACGCTTAAAGAACTGGTCTGGCACAAGAAAGATTAGATCTTGTAACAGATTCATGCACTAGCTGATCTGATGAGGTTGGTGAGCTTTAAAAGATGAGAAGAGTCCAATATTTGTCCATGGAAATATGTATGCTTTGTGAGGAGAGAAAGGGTTGTTTAGTGTCAGCATAGATGGTTTTAAATTTAATTGCAATGTTTTGGGTGCTATAGTGCTCAGTGTCTTGTCTCCTGCCATAGGTGCATTACATTGTGCAAAATTATATATTTATTTTGTGTCACACTGGCATTTTTACATTTTCTTTCTTTCTCTATCTACCACTTGGCTAAAGAATGGCTCACTACACACTCTTAGAAGCCATTTTTCTCCATTATGATGGGGTTTTAGACATTCTGACATTTTTAAACAGTCCAGGGCTGAGTTCTTATACATTTTGGCCCAAATTAATCAGTGGGTGAAGCAGGGGCATCCCACACATTTAAAGATACCGGAGGAGGGACTTCTCAGTATGGGGTTAGTGTTATGTCTTATATTTTGTGTTCCAAAGTAGGACTTGTCAGTTACAGCAGTTCCTGATCAACACCAAGAAGTGGTTTTCCACAGTTTTGTTAGAACTGTTTGCTTCTTTCAGCAAATAAGAACGATGGTGGGGGTCTTGTGTGGGAATCTGAATTCTTGAAAAGTACTATGTACAAACTGAATGTGTTGAAAACGTATCATTTTTCTCAGTCATGTCTTTGATATCTGACGGCAGGTCTACACAGTTTTATGATGTACTGGAGTCAACAGCTGAAGCCTCAGGAAATTACTATACTTTTCCAGTCCTCCAGACAAGGAGACAAATCTTACTATGAGCAGCAGTGAAAGAGAAGGAATTTCCATTTTGTGTGTGTGTGAGAGAGAGGCTAGACACTCATTTCTCTCCAGCCCCAGATGACACCATGGTTTACTGGCTCATGGTTTTTATTTCCAACAGGTGCTTGTAGAATGTTAGCGCACCCAAAACCAGAAGTGAAATGAAGGGAGTGGAGAGAGAGATAGTGGGCAGGTCCACACACTTGGAAACATCATATCATGTTCAGTGGAATACTCTATGCCTTTTTCTGCAATTAGCTGGCCCATTAGCAGTCCAGGCCCACCTCCCAACCTTTGCCCGCCCCACATTGGTGACGTCAGAAGGATCTGCTTCTGTAACATCCTCTCCCAAGCCTCCTCTTGTAGTTTTGGGTTTTGGCTGTGAAGTCTCAGGGGCTGGAATTCTGCAGCACTTCCTACCAAACTGAATGAAGCCCCATCAGGTATAGGTGACAGCCACCCATCGATGGATGGGAACAGTATTTAGCAAACCACAACATATGAGGGATAGACTTGGTGGACCTGTTGCTCAGATGAAGTTCCACAGTTTCTTGTTTGTGCAGGATTCCTTTCCTCAACCCTAACTCCTGTTTTGTTATTTGGCAGGCGTAATTTATGTCTACGCCAGAAATGGGGGGGTTGGGGAAATTAACTTCACTGTAATCTCCCAGTATTTGTCCCAGATTTATGAATCTGCCTATGCTCACTTTCCACTCTCTTATTCTCTCTGTATAAACAGGAAACGGTGACCTCTCGAAATATCTCTGTAGCGCAGGCAGGAATCCCAGCAGAATCTAAACTCAAAGAAGCCCCTAACCAAAATGCAGAGTATAGTACAGTTTTATGAAAATCCATTTCCCCTTCTAAAACTATCTGGAAGGAGTCTGAAAACAGGTCTTGCATTGAGCAGCATGTTTTAATTAATGCAGCTGTTAATGAATACAGCTGTGCCATAGGGTTTTCATTCTAATAAAGTAGCATACATTTTTCCCTACTTACTTGTTAGTTTTATTTCATTTTTAAAGCACAGTAAATAATGCTAAGTAAGGCAATGTTCTGAGGAGCAAAAATCATCATGCAGGCAGGTATAGGACGGGGTTCAACTCCAACATGTAGGCAGGCACTAATGGAGTTTCTTTTCTTAGGCGTCCCAAGTGAAGGGAATGAGATGTCCTTCTTTCAGGACTGGATTTTGTGCCAGTTCTTTAACACATCCAGTTACATCTCTGCTCCTATGACATTATGGTTTCTACTCCTGTAGGAGCCCTGTTTTGCATCATTTGATACATCTGAGAATTCCATTATCCTTCCTTCTAGTTATGAATTAATCACATTTTTATATTTTGTTGTTGTTGTTTAGTCATTTAGTCGTGTCCGACTCTTCTTGACCCCATGGACCAGAGCACACCAGGCCTTCCTGTCTTCCACTGCCCCCCGTAGTTGTGTCAGTTTCATGTTGGTAGCTTCAATGACACTGTCCAACCATCTCATCCTCTGCCGTCCCCTTCTCCTCTTGCCTTCACACTTTCCCAACATCAGGATCTTTTCCAGGGAATCTTCTCTTCTCATGAGATGGCCAAAGTATTGGAGCCTCAGTTTCAGGATCTGTCTTTCCAGTGAGCACTCAGGGTTGATTTCCTTCACAAAACTGCTAACTCCAATTTCACCCTGGAAAATCTAGCCACTTTATTTTTACAAAATCTCAAGATATTTATATGCTGCCCTGAGACCTTTGGGTTGTGTGGGCAGCATATAAATTAAATAAATAAAAAATAAAATAAACAAAATATGTATGCATTCATCCCTGGCGGTTCATATGAAAAGTCAAAATCATATAAGCCTACTTGAAGAAATCTTGTATGGCTCTTTGAACATTCCCGCTGATGATGATATGAGCTACCAAGAGAAAACGTGCTTTAAAGAGTACTCATCAGTGTTTTCTGGCAGTGTCAGTAACCTGACATTGGATCAGTCATTTTCAGGTATTGAGAAAGTTACTGTTCTGGGCTATAGCTCCAGAAATCCTTCTGACAGAATGGTTGCTAGCCATAGAGAAGGCTTGTGGAGGTCCAAAACAGTGAGTTTCATAACTTCTGGTTATTTTCAGACTTTGGGGGCATCTCAGGTTACCAGGAAGGTTGTTGGAGTGTCTTCAGTGAGAAGATAGTGAACAAGCCTCCTTGAAGGAAAGCTACCAACATTTGCGTGGAGTATGTTCTGGGGCTCATTTCCTACCTAACAGTCCAGGATCTCATGCAGAGAGGTCTTTGTGGACAAGTTTGGAAGGGACAACTTGAAGGTAGAAAGTGTAGGGGCCTTTTTCTTTCCTTGGTTTACAGCACAGTTCATGATTTCTAGAAAGATTTCCAGCCTGGACAATGGTTCTCAGAAATGAACCATTTCTATTCATTCAAAAATGGTGGCTTCATATGTCCTGTAGGTTGCTATGGCAATTTGAGCAAGAATGAGAGTTAAATGAAGTTATAGACAATGAACCAGAATAATGAAGAACCCTATTATACTGAAAGGGACAGAAGTGTTACTTAGCAGTCGCTTTCGCTGTGCACTTATTCAGTCTACAACACAGTGGCTATTAGACTTGAGAGTCCACACGTTCATGGACTACAGCTCTTTGTAGCCGAAGGCAAAACAGCCAATAGTCAGGACTTCCATGAATTGCAGTCCATGGACATACAAAGCACCACATATGGGAACTAGACTTGAGGCTCCAAATGAATGTTCATGGACTGGAAGTTACAGTCCATGAACATTTGGGGCCCTAAGTTTGGTTTCCGTACATGGGGCTCTCTAGATGTTCATGTACTGCAACTTCCAAGAGTCCTAGTCATCATGACCACTAAATTCAAGCTGGGGAATCCATGTATTACTCCTAGTTAGAATAGACCTGTGGGATGGAGAGGATTTAAGTCAAGCTGTTGATTCAAAGCATCTGATTTAACTCAAACTATCCTCTAGAAGTAGCTCATAATTTCTGTAATACATCCAGAAAAAATACATCAGTTTTGAAAACTAACATTATGTATCTCTGTATTATTGCAGCTCATTTGTAACATTGCAGATCACATTTTGGATTTTGTGGGAATTATTTCCCATAACATACAAAATCCTACTGGACAACAATTAATTTAACATGACAAAGCTAAAGTAATACACTTGTCTCTTTGACAGCTTGGAATAATCAATATGTTGTCTCCTGCTTTAGTGCAAGCAACATTGCTATCTACTTTGACAGAGAGGAAAGATTTTCACAGTGCAGTGGGATGCGTACAAAGGAAAAGGGGCACCAGAGATATGTTTTCCAACTTAATTTCATTTGATAATTACATGAATAATATTTGCATGAGTTAGGCTGCAGTCATATGCATATTTACATGGGAGAAGATAGCCCTTGAACCTAGAAAATGAAACTTACTTACACATGCAGATCATTACATTTTTTATAATAATGAATATGCTTTGATCAAGAAAAACCTCTTGATTCTATTCCTTTTGTGCTTATAGTGTGATTACAACAGATCCCTCAACACAATTCCTCCCACAGTGAATGGGCAGCCTGTCCTCTCAGTTAAAAGCCCTAAGCTAAAATGCTAAATATATTATTATTATTGTTGTTGTTGTTGTTGTTGTTGTTGTTGTTGTTGTTGTTGTTGTTGTAAGATATACATGGCATACCCATACAACGAAATTCACACAGGCACCCA